GTCTAATATCAATCTGTCAGGAGATAGTGACAGAATGAAAAAATATGTAAAAAATACATTTTTAGAAAAGTTACATACTGCACCTTTAATAACGTTTATTTCTGACTATTGTTTTTAAATTCTGCAGTTTATTGTTTATTTATTTTTTTTATTCCGCATGTTTTCATTTACTTTCTGGAGGTTTTGCTCCAGATACAAAAAGAGGCTTTAATTTTGTTCGATGTTTCCACGGAAAGACAATAAAGTCAGATTGTCAAGAAAGTGCCCTGAAGTTGAACTCATGCAGTTCATAAGTTCACCAGCAGAGGGAAACAAACCGTCACAATCAACGTCAGTGTCTTCAGAACAACGCAAACTACAAGACTGAAGCTGATTCTATAATTAAACAGACTTAAAAATTCGAACTGTCTCATATTTCAAATTAAAAACACATTTTGTCATTAAAACCATAAGCAGCTCTCCTTGTTCTGTATTTTTTTTTAGAAAATCTGAATGAAATCTGGGCTGAAGGAAATTGTTTTGCAAATCAATTTATTGTTGACACAGATTTTTGAGCCACTAATTCATACTAAAGGTAGTTTAGAGAGGTTGGCTGCAAGGGGAGAAAGGAGGCCACCAGTTTAAAGAAAATTACCCCATTTTGTTTCCCGTTCCAGAACTTCAGTCCTGAGTGTTTTGTGTACCTGAATCTCCAGGATTTACACATGTGAATCTCTGGGAATTTTGTTTTCATAAAATGCTGCAACCAGTAACTGAAGTAAAATATAACAAATGTAAACAGCATTGTCTAGAAATATAAAATGTGGTTTGTACCACACATAAAAAGACCATTTGTACACTTAAAATGTCAACATTGCAGTGTGACAAAGCAATGAAACTCAGTCAAACAGTCAGGTTACTGATTGAATCATGACACTTAACTTTCTGTGTAATCTTTATCATTAGAAAAGACACAGCTTTAGATAAAAAAACATTTTAACTTATCAATGTTGTTTTATTGATTTGTATAATATTAGGAAAATGTTTTTTGTCTGAAACATATTAAACCAAAAACAAATATTTGGGAAAAATACAACTGTTAAAGCACTATTAAAATGTTAATGCCCTCAAAATATGTTTTAAAAAGTAATCAACGACTAAAAAATAACCTGTAAAACACATAAACGAATAGGAGTGCATATGAATTAGGTGTTTTAAAGCAGAGAGAGGGAGAGAGAGAGAGAGAGAGAGAGAGAGAGAGAGAGAGAGAGAGAGAGAGAG